GCTGAATGCAAATGCAGAAATTTGCTTTAGCTGTGCCTCTTGCTGCTTGTGGTGGAACATTTCGACTGAGTGATCGTGTAGCTGTGGACAGTCGGCACCTCTAAAATGGTTGGTTTTGAGTCTGCTGCCTTCAGATTTAAGCCCTTTATAAATGAGCAACATGCACCAAAACAAAACCAAGAATAAGATGGATGGATACCATTTTAACCTCCCTCCTGATGTAGTGTCGAAACCCCGACTGTAGTCACTCTATTGTGTCTCATTTCTTAATCCCTTCAAGGCATCTCGCACACTAGCAGAGCTGGCATAAGCACATTTGGTACTGTTTGCAGTGTCGAGATTAACAGGATTACAGATTAGGGATTACATTGGCGTCATTCTTACCCATTTAACCTTGACCCATGCCCTGCTGAAACATTTCATATAGTCTGACTAAACCTGTTTGCAAGGCCTGAGTGTTTGTGCACTTCTATTGAGTGTCGAACCACTTTGGTACATCCACACGAGCACAAAGTCAGAAAAGTGACAACAGCAGTAGCCTTTTGATGAGTGTCCTATGGATTACTGCCCCGTCCCTTGTTTCCTTCGGCACAGTTTCCATGCCTCTTAACACAACGCATCTCCAGCGTTTCCATGGAGAACATGCGGTTGCCAAGGCCTGTGGCGATTGAACACAGAGGGTCATCGTTTATTTCTGTCAGTCAGCAGTGAGGGGACAGATTGGAGAGAGGAGCAGCCGGGGAGGGGAAGAGGAGGAAGAGGAGGAGGGCACTGCTGGGTCCTGAGGGGGCTGCGAGGGTCCAGCTCTCCTTTTTAAAAGTTTATTTGTCCAAGGGATCACCCAGGGGTAAGCCTGACTCTGGTTGATGGTGTTAATGTACTGACTCTCCTCACAAATCCCTGGGACACTTAGTCGTATTCACACTTTAAAAGAAGTGCAACAGCAGCGTCGGCAGGGGAAGGGGAGGGGAACGAGGGAACAGGACGTGCAAGGCTACATATGGCCGACCGTCGCGTTGTTTATCCGGAGAGTTGTTACAGCTGAGGGCCGGCCTCCGTCCCCCCTGTTCCTCCTTCGCCTCTCATTAATCTAGCAGTATGGTTCTGGCCTGCTTCCCGTGATGTGGAGTGAGCAGGTTTGAGCGGCCACCCACCCCGAGGAGAAGCATTAGTCTGTCCTCTCAGCCGTCACCTGCTATTGTTTATGTCTCCACTTCAATCTGTCACCATCTTTCCGCTGCTATAAAATAATGAGGGAAATATTTTAATTGAGGCTTCCGAAGCTTCGGGATTGATAGTCGGCCTTCGGGGGGAATTCTTTGCTAATTTCTCCCACCGACTGGATTTTTCTCCAGGTTTCAGATCTGCTTTCCTTTCCTTTCGCCTGCCTTTTCCACTCAATCCTTTTTTCCCCCCTTCTTCTCGGTCTGTGTGCCGCTCCTGTTTAGGAGGACTTTTTAGTCCACGTGTGCAATTACAGAGCTCATATTCAGTCTTAGCTCTTTCCATCATCGAGAATGAAAAGGTTGGACTATCAGATACGCATTAGTCTCCATCTGCCTCTCGTTTGTGCATGAGTTAAGACACTGACTCTCTTTGGCAGACTGAAACACTCTGGTGTCTACGAACCTTTTGGCTGTTCTTCACCTTACCAATATGTCTGCTGGCTATACCTCTCATCAGTTCTACAAAGCATGAAATATTCATGTTCTCCTTTCTTCCTCCTCTGCATTTTTGCATCTATTATTGTGGGGAAAGGAGAGCAGAGACGTTTGCACTTGTAGCTTGGCTTCTCTTAAGGTATACACATCCAGCAGAAGACACATTAGGTGAGATGGGCATGCCAGACATTTGAGATCCATTAGCCATTATTCTGTTCAGTCAGTGCTATATCCTCATTTCCATCATCGTCTCTAATGCATTGTGCTCTCTATTTAGCCCGCCTGATCTCACTGCTTCGCACTCAAGGCCTTGAGGTTTCCCTTTATTTGTGTCAGCAGCTCTCTCGCTCCTGCTCTCAGGCTATCACCTTCTTTCTCTCCCCTTCCTTCCTTCAGCTGTGGCTCTCTGCATCACAGCCTGAAGGTCAACATTGGGAGGCGGTCATCTCTACTGCGAATTGGGCAAGAGGGACGGTTTTTCTGTGCCCCTACTCTCTTTGTGTTCTCTCGACATTAAAGCTGCTCCCAAGACCATGTCAGCAGTGTCATTAGAGTCACAGCGGAGCTTATTGTCTCCCTGCAGACGCCGACAAAAGATAATATTTCTTCGGTGTGATTATTCAACAAGAGAAAATTATTTTAACATTGCCTTTTTCCTAAAAATCTAGGGCAGGGCACAGTGCGACATTACTGATATCTAATACTGCAAATAAATCTGAGGTACAGATACAAAAACAAGAATGCAAATTAGTGTGGACTATATGTACTACTAGCATTTATATAGACTGCGTGTATAATTAGTCTTAATTGGAACATTCGGTTATTCCAACTTGTTCAATATGAGGATTAATTTGTTGCTGTTCTTTTGTCTGCTATTGTAATTTGAAAATCTTTGTTTTTGCCTGTCAGAAAAAAAAAACACAGGCAGACACTGTAAAGCATCTTTAGCTTCATTAAATAGTAATACTGTTGCAGCCCTTATGACAAACACACTTATGCATGTCAGTGCCTCTTGCCGTGTGTCTGCTGACATATACATTATGTTTGCGAGAAGCTACATATCAGCCCAAGCGATATCTCTCTCATTTCCACAGCACATATTTCTAGAACAATAACATTACATCATCACAATATGATTTCGCTGAAAGCTGATGAATGACATTATTGAATTATCTCCCGGCTCCCATTATTGCAGCCGCGCCAAGTTGTTTCTATCTTCAAGCCCTTTCCCCGAGAAGCTGTTAGGCCTCTGTGTCGTGTTAAAAGTTGTCGCCCCGGTCTTGTCTTCTGCTTCACTGTTTCCAGCAGGAGTCACTTCCTGTGGCTAATCATACTTTGATATGCCGTGGCACGAACCCCGGCTCTCTCAGAAACGAACAAACAAGGTACCCGGGGGATCTTCAAGCGACCAGGGCTGTTGGTTTTTGTCTGCTCCGCTGTGATACATTCTCTGAACGCCCACTGCTTTTTCACGGCCTCTCTTTACATTAGACTCCACATCCCTGTGAAGGGGGGAAAGTTGGACACAACTCAGAGAAAAAGAAGTGCGATTTCTTCCACCGCACTCACAGGGAGATTTAAGGCATTCTGCTAAGCTCAGCTGGAAGGATGGAGGGGGCAGAGGTACTTGCCAGAATGATGACCTTGATTACATGAGAGGGACACTGCATGATACTTTGAGCTTGATTTTCCCCGTGTAGTACCGCTAATGGTAACGCCAGTGATCAAAGGGTTATCTTTATGGGATTCTGTTCGAAATGATAGAACAGTGATCTGACCTTTATCTTCTATCAGGCTGTGAAAAATCAGAATTCAGTGTACCGGGCAGAGCACGGCTGCTCTTGTATTTTTAATGCTACTCACCTTTAATTAAACCTTGCTTTACAGTGTTTCTAATAAACCCTTTGATGGCATTATTACATCTCTTTTATGTCCGTGTTGTGTCAGAGTCTTGATGGGTTTAGTGGTCACTGTTTAATGCCTTCGGGTTGAGAAGGATGTGACTCCTAATGCGGTATCAAGGGTTTTATAAAGGGATGTGTGCACCGCGATAGCTCTGCGGCTTAATGGTCAGAGCGTTTCCATGCAAAGGTAATGATGCTCTGTCTCATTTCCCCACCAGGACTCTAAATGGAGAAATGATGTTTTTGTAAGTGACTAGCTCACACCATTCTCATGCTGCATCCTGTACTTTTCACACTTGACCTGATGGAGACTGACTAAAGGCCTGGTATATTATGTTAGGTCTGCAGAGGGTATGGAAATGTATATCGAGTGTGGTAAGGGATTTTCTCCTCGAGTAAAGGATCCTATTGTTGCCAGGTCTGTCTGTCACTGTCATCCACTCCTCTGCTCTTGGATTGCTTCCCTTCCATCGGCTTGTTTTTCTTCCTTCCCTGGCACTCCATTTTGGTCGTGATACTGAGGATTTGAGGGGAATAGAAGGCGAGTGTGCCCGCGGGTGATGGCTTCACTTGTATGCAGTCACACAGTTCTACCGGACTGAATCGGGAATTGGCTTGCCCTGAAGCTTTGTTGTCATTCACATTCTGCCTATTGATTGTGTGGAGGCTGCGTGAGCGGGTGTGTTTTTTTTTGTTGTTTTTTTTTAATGTGCGCTTGTGTGTGTTTGTTTGCACGAACAGGGGTTAGGTCTGTGTGTGTGTGTGTGTGTGTGTGTGTAGGGGGGAAATTGGCAGCTCTTACTTTGTGTAGGTGAATGCAAGGACTACTTTGGAGTGAACTTTTGGATTGTTGGCACTGGCAGCATACACACATCTCCCACACGCCACTAAACCCACACAACAAAAGAATGTGATATGCTGTTTGTTCTATAGGAGCTGATGCTGTGCCGCTTGATTGTAACATTATTTTCTTTTGTCCTGCTGTTTTTCTAGGTCAGAGGATTTGATCCCGAGGGAATGGTGCTGTTGAGATGACCTGCGTGGCCTTAGTTTCCTCAAGAGATTATTCTCCAATCAAAAGGGCGGAACAGAATCGAGCCAAGACATGCTTGACAGGTTCACATGATGGACAGGTGATGGAGTCTTCCATCATCTTTCTCCACCAGTGACTCAACCTGCCAGCCCTCCCTCTGAGGCATAAGTGTGCGTACCAGCGGTACAAGGCCCCCTATTTCTTTGCCATGGTGACATAAGCAGTGCTGCAATATGAGGGAGAGCCAAAGTGAGACCGTCTCATTTCTTTCTCCAGTAGCTGCTGCAGCTGCTACCTTGATGCCGTTTGTATTTAGCTCCGTAACAAGACTGACTCTGTTGTGATCAATCCCCGTTCACTGTGTTTTTTTTACCCGCACTGAGAGAGACTGTCCCCAAGGCGTGTTGCTGGGCCGGTGGGGCGGAGCGGTGTGGCGTGAGACGATGCTGGGATGCGTGACACGCCTCCGTCGGCTGGTCCGTCTCCTCCCCCTGCAGACCTCCCTGCTCCTCCTCTTCCTCTTCTGCACCGTCAGCGTCTTCATCTCCGCCTACTTCCTCTATGGCGTCAAGCGGGAGCTGGAGCCGTCGGGAGGGGGCGTGTCCGGGGCCGAGGGAGCGTCCGCCGATTCAGATGACCCACGGGTCACTCCGTCACGACTGCTGCCTTTGCGGAGCGTCTCGGGGGGCCCCGGGGTGGATCCCGGCGGGGCCAGGACAGATCCTGTGGTTCTGGTGTTTGTGGAAAGCCAGTATTCTCAGCTGGGGCAGGAGATCGTGGCCATCTTGGAGTCCGGCCGGTTCAGGTACCGGACTGAGATCTCTCCTGGTAAAGGGGACATGCCCACATTGACGGACAAAGAGAGAGGACGTTTCACACTGGTGATTTATGAGAACATTCTCAAGTATGTTAACTTGGACGCCTGGAACCGAGAGCTGCTGGACAAATACTGTGTGGAATATGGAGTGGGCATCATTGGCTTCTTCAAGGTTAGGACAACACCACACTCCCTCTGCCTCCCTCCCTCCCTTCCTCCCTCCCTCCTTTCCCTCCTCTCACTCACACCTTCTGCCCTGTCCATCTGGCTCCACCGTCTCTAAGGAGATGGGATTCACAGAGTTGGAAAGACCTGCCTGGTTCAATATCACTCAGCTCCACTGCACTGTCTTATGTTATGTTTCTCTTATGTTCTCTCTATATCATTTTATTTTTCTTTCTTCTACATTGTCTTCTCCTTCACTCTTTTTTTTTTTTTTTGTCTCCCACTCTCTTGTTTTTCTCTCTTTGTTTTCGTCTCTCTCGCTGTTCAGTCCTCTCCCTCTTTCTCCCTCTCTATCGCTCCTACACTCCCTCTTCCCTTCTCTCTTTCTCAGTAATCCCTAGATGGTCTTGTTTGCCCAAGGCCAGTTTTCAGGTGTTATGGTTTTAATCACCATCTCTGAGCCATGGAAGGAATATAGAAAGAGATGTGGAGGAATGGAAGACGGTGCAGAAATGCTGTGCAGTGTAGGTGAAGGTTAGCCTGGTGGGATTTACCGGCTATTGGGAGAGGAAGCAGGAGAATGAGGGCATGCATCCCAATGACCTGGTCACAGACCAGTGCTGCTTTGCTGTTTGAACCAAACCTACATACAAGTGTATCTGCATGATTGATAGCATTGTCCAACTTTGGTTTATCACAGGCTTCAGTCGGCCTAAACGGTATGTTGGCAGATAAGAAGATATTTTTGAGTTTTAAGCGTCACCGTGACAAGTGTGTTTTAAACTGTGAATGTTTCTGAAACTTCTTAAATTATCGAGTTGGAAGGATTCTTATCAAAAATGTGTTTATATTACATACTTGGGTTTATTCTAACAGCTCAAAAACACCACGCACACACACTTTAAGGAATACTTTATCACATTGGCTCTTAATGACTTTTTGTAGTTTAATGAGAATCTGCTGACATGTTTCAGAAGTCAGATAAAGACATGTAGTGTCAGAATTTTATCTGTAATTGGCTTTGACAGTGCTTTTATTGCCACATTAACCCCTCCAACGCCCTACAAACTCTATTTGCATTTCTATCATTGGGTGTTTTCTTTACTCTGCGAGATCTGCTTGACCTCGAACATAAGTAACATCGCTCTGTAGGATTATGTGCACTGGGGTTCTTTGTTAGTGACTTGTAATTAAACAGAATAAAGACATGTTTGCTCTTGCATAGTCCTTAGAGCATATAAAACATTTGGTGGAATAACAACATCTTATGGTGACTTTGTTCCCACAGTGTGCAGGCACAATTATTGTTGAAGGAAATGAAACTTGTCGAGATATTGGAGGTGAATAAGTTTTAATCAAGTAAGAAATATTTTAATAAATTGGTTGATTTTTTTGCAATTATGATCATATTTACACCCACAGCAGTGGAATCAGCGAGGCTCCAAAGAATGTGGAAATAGGGCCAATATTTTAATATAGTGGATAAAGAATATTTGCGGATATATTGCTGTTGGAATTTGTTTTTAAAACTCTAAACTATTGTTTTCAAAGCTTCAGTAACTTTCAGTCCCTAGTTTGCACATCACAATGCATGAACATCAGTGGCCATCATGTGGACATGTGTCAGCGTTAACTTTAGGATGCTGTCACTAACACCCACACGTACGATGGTGAAATTCTAAGTAAGGCTTCAGTTAAAGTGCAAGATAAAGTAAGACGGAATCGGAGGATGACAAGTTTGGGAGGGAAAATTTCAGTAAGTCGTCACTGAACCCTCAGTCTTAGAATCTTGGAGGACACAGCGGGAGGTTATTCATTTTGACTGCAATCTTGGAGCATAGCAGATTGAGCATAGCAGGTAGAAGCTGCCTCATGCCTTCACGTCTGAGTAGGCCTGACATTCCTTATTTCACACATGACTGGAGAAATTGGAGAATTATATCCAATACATTTCTGTCTTCATCACTCTGGTGTATGATGAATCTGTGTGATTTCTCTCTTGTCTCTGTGTGTTGCTCAGGCCAATGAAAACAGTCTGCTCAGTGCACAGCTCAAAGGCTTCCCCCTCTTTCTACATTCGAATTTGGGTCTGAAGGACTGCACAGTCAACCCCAAGTCCCCGCTTCTCTTTATCACTCGATCCGGGCAGCCCCTGCCAGGACCTCTCCCTGGGGATGACTGGACTGTTTTCCAGTCCAACCACTCTACATACGAACCCGTGTTGCTGGCCAAGACCCAATCAGCGGAGAGCGTTGCATCGATGGGGCAGAATGCCGCTCTGCTCCCGTCTGTGGTGCAGGACCTGGGGCTTCATGACGGCATCCAGAGGGTCCTGTTCGGCAACAATTTGGTCTTCTGGCTGCACAAGCTGGTGTTTGTGGACGCTGTGGCCTTTCTGACAGGGAAGAGGCTGTCGTTGTCCCTGGAGCGCTACATCCTAGTGGACATAGATGACATATTTGTGGGCAAAGAGGGAACCCGCATGAAGGTGCCTGATGTGAAGGTGAGTTGGTGCATGTGTTTCAGAGTGTGAAAAAAAGTTTTTTCTCAGAATAGAAACATACTTATCTATTCATCAACCAATGTTTTCAACAGCCCTTTGCTAAAATATAGAAATCGCCTCACACATAGCATGTGCTATCCTCTGCCAGTCACACAGAACCTCCTTCTTCTTGCTCCTCTTCTCCTTTTGAATGCATTCGTCCCAGTAGGCTGCTCAAAGCTGACAGGCCCCACTGCTCACACTGTCACAGAAGCTCCACAGCAATGAATATTTCAGGGGCCCAGAGACATACAAAGAATGTTGAAAAGCTCCTTGCTTGCGTCCCCTCAGAGCAGAACAGGCTCCCCTCACATGTGGAGGCAGAGGGTATAAGAAAAACTTATGGAAGAAGCATCAAGGCCCTCCTCACTGGCAGCGCAACAGCAAGCTTTTAGGAACGAATCACACCCTGACAACATGGAGGAATCTGAGAGAGTGAGAGGGTGTGTGTGCTGGGAGTCTCATCCAGCGTGGAGATCAAATGAAACAAACACCCGAATCAGAGGAGAGCAAAATATCAAACAGAATGGAGGAGAGGAGTGAGGCAACTGGGAGTGGATGTTGGATGTTTACCGAAAGAAACTTGCACAATAAAATATGTATGTGGGCACACGACCGCCTGGGTGTTCACACTTCCTCATTAATGCACTCGTGCACCAGTTTGAGCACGTCGTGTATTGACTCATTCTCCTTTTCCTCCCACTGTTACAGGCCCTGCTGGAGACACAGAGGGAGCTGCGCACCCATGTGCCCAACTTCACCTTCAATCTGGGCTTCTCAGGGAAATTCTTTCACGCTGGTAAGATGCAGCCTTTGGTACTTGAGCAGAGATAGGAACACACACAAAACCGAAAGAGATGACACTTCTAAGTTTGTGAAGTTTAGATTTGTGTTGTTTTTGATTTCTCTACTCTTTTCCTCTGTCATGCTCTGACTTTCTGTTTTCTGTTGCTTATTTCTTACATGCCTCACTCTAATATTTGAACTTTCTCTCCCTTTGCCACGCTGACTTTCATTTCCTCTTCTTGTCATTACTGGCCCCATTTTACCTTTGCTTCCTATTTGTCTTTGTCCATTTTTATCTCTTCAATTTCCTCTTAACCCATCACCCCTCATTTTTCTGTTAATCCCCTTCGCCTCCCCTCTGTCTCCTCCTTCCTCTTCCTTCTTATTGCCTGACCTCTGTTTTTTGTGTTCAGGATCTGATGAGGAGGACCTGGGAGATGACCTGCTGCTTTCCTATGTGAAGGATTTCTGGTGGTTTCCTCACATGTGGAGCCACATGCAGCCCCATCTATTCCACAACCAGTCCGTGCTGGCCGAGCAGATGTTGCTCAACAAGAAATTTGCTATGGTGAGTAATGAGTGAGCAAAGGTCATATTACAGCTTCAGGCGAGCACTGTGATCAGAGCTGTCCATACTTAGCCCATATTAAATAGAAAGTCTCAGGCAAGGTATTCATGTTTTTGAAAATTGCACCATGTACGATGTCAGCCTGGGTTGAGTTAGTGACTCTCGTGGTTGCCGTGGTAACAGCAAGTATTGTTTAATGCTACAACAAATACTACTTGAGTAGCTACTTTGTCAGTAATACAAAAGAGCAGCTGGTGTGTCTGTTTTTAAAGAGAAGCCAAACACACTCACATTGTTTTAATTAGGAAGTGAAAGAAATTAATTTCATCTGCAGTCAGATGTCTTGCCACAGACATCACAAGTAGTTTGCGGTACAACACGATTGCACCGTGGAAGTCGGTTGCTTTGCTGAGAAGCTCGAGGTATGAAGGTCAATAGGTCACTGTGGCGGCTACTTCTTGCCCCATTACTCCCTTGCAAAAATAAGAAATTATCTCCGAGCTAAGAATAAACAAAAAATGCATTTTGTTTATGCTTTTTTGCTGATTTCAATTTGCGCTAATCGTGTTAGCATGTTTTCTGCTTCACGGTTATAGTCACCCTGTGTTCTGCCAATTCAGTTTTTATAGATCCCATATTGTCCAGTCATTAGTTTATTAATGAAAGTCTACATTTCCCCCAAATATGCTTGTAAAGTTAAAGTACTATAGAAGATGGTTTGTTTCACCGTGACTGATTAACCCTTGGTTTTTTCAGGCCTGTCCTAAACTGGCTGTCTGTAGCTTTAAATGCATCTGAAGAAGACCACGTGAATCAGTGTGGGAGAACAGCACTTCATATTCCTTGTAACTTTCACTTCAGCTGAATTCACAGCACAGCCGTTGTTTTGAATAAATGTATATGGTGATTTTGTTGGAAAACATTGTGGTTATAAAATCTCTGTTTTAGCGGCGCAGAGCAGCCGATTGAAAATGGCACTGATGAGCCTGTTGTCTGACAACAGGAAGAGAAAAATATGTAAATGAGACCAGCTTTATTGGGAAGTCCACCGTATTAAAGTACAGTAAATGTGAGCACAGAGAGCAGGAAAGAGCTGTAAACAGTGGTTGAAGCACAAAAGGCAACATGATAATACAGCAATACAACTAATCCTTGTTTATTTGTCTGAAATGTCTTAAAGTTTCCATCATCTCTCTATGTGCCACAGCGTTACAGTTTTCGCAGAGCTCTGACCTGTGGACAAATGATCAAACCTATCGATAACATAACACTCAGGATTCCGCTATTGTTGTGTGACATTTCCATCAACCAAAAAAGTAATCCATTGGGTGTTTAAAAAATAAATACAAAAAATAGGTAAATGAGAACGGCTGAGGACCTGGTGTTGGAAGTGCATGAATCCTCTTGTGTTCATTCTTACAGCCAACTGCAAGAACTTGGTGAGTTTTGCTTGTGGCTAAGACATTTTAGAGTTAACAGAAGCGGCTCTAGAAAAAAAATCAATTTGGTGAACTGTGATACTGGTGAACTATGAGACTGGCGCTCATTCTGATTGGTTCACCTGAAATCAGCGGGCAGTGGGGCGGCACGATTATGCAATGTTTGAACTAAGCAAATATTGGTTCGTGGTGTACGTAGCAGTTTGCCAAAATCCCTACTTGCTTGCAAAGATGGGAGGCCGTCTCGCTGTGGGAGGCATGGCAGAAGTAAATGTCTTCATATCTTAACAGCTTTTACTTTATACCACCAAGTTTATAACAACCACAGAACACAATAAAAATGGATTTTCACCATATGGGACCTTTTTAATGTTAGGCAGCAGCAGGAAATGTTGGGTTTACGCGAGCATTAACTCACCACAGCTCTGGCACGGTGTAAAGGCAGCCACCGACTAACAGTGAGGCTGTTATCAATTAAATAAAATTGCACTAGATTACATACTAAATTGTTGTCCTGTGAATCCTGTGTGCTTATTTGCTCAGTGTGAATCCAGCAAGGGAATGGCGCGCTCCACTACTGATATCAGGAAAATTCTCAGGGATTCTAATTGTAACATTTCGGCAACTTGGCGGTCGTTAATGAGCCTTGTCTTATTTTAATGCCTTTCCTGTCGCTGTTCTTGTCTCCTAACTCTCACTCATGTGCGTTCATCTCCAGGAGCACGGGATCCCCACTAACATGGGCTACGCGGTGGCTCCTCACCACTCGGGTGTCTATCCCGTGCACATGCAGCTCTACGACGCCTGGAAGAAGGTGTGGGGCATCAAAGTGACCAGCACAGAGGAATACCCACACCTAAAGCCCGCTCGCTTCCGGCGAGGTTTCATCCACAGCGGCATTAGCGTAAGGCCACTTCTCATACACCCAGGCATTCATAAAGCCTCATTATCTTCTTACCTAAGGCCCATTGCTTTCTCTCCACTTGGCTTCTGAACATCTTTTCAGCCAATAATCCCTTTCAGGGTTCTCTACCACCATCTACATATTCTGTCCTTCATTCAGTAATTATCTGTGCATCTCCTCCAGTTTCTTGCATTTATTCCTCTCCCGTGGCCGTCGGTTTCTCTCCGGCCTGCCTTCGTCCATCATCCCTCCATCCCCCTCCACCTCTGCTTTTCTCAAGTTTTGTCCCTGAAGATGATGAGCAGAATATTATTTCCATTTAGCATACACGGATGAGGCAACAGAAGTCCTGAAAAAGGCAATCATCTTATTAGTCCTGTTGACTCGTTGTTTTCTTACATGGAGTGGGAGATGATAATGTGCTCAAGTGAACCAGTGTTGCATGAGACACCTGTCTGGGTAGTGCTGCCTCGCAGGCCTCAGCACCATAACGAAGACTGACATATCTGGCAACAGCATAGCAAGTGTCTGCACACAACCAATCACTGAAATGTCAACACAGAGGGAAAAAAGACTGCACTTTATTCAGCCTCACAGCCCTATCCGCTGCTGAAGAATACGGTTATGAGAAGAAAATTAAAGTTGAATAGATTACATTCAAGAGGTACAAAAGAAAGAAAAGAAATCTTATCCATTTCTTTCCCAGGTTGACCTTCAGAACTGATAAGAAGCAGAGCAGCCTCAGTCCAGTTCCTTTGTAGTGCTGGCATTCAGTCAGCCTGTGTGGTCTCAGAGCTCTGTTGCCGTCCTTGAGATAGCGCAGTCTGAATGGACAGTCTCCACTGCTTACTGATGATTGATATTCAGTTCCCCAGACACTCCAAACTGTAAATGCATTTCCATGAATTTCCATATAGACTCAGAGTGAATAAGAGGTTTGCTTTGGCTAAATGAGCTGCATAATATGAATGTTATTGAAAGCAAACAATGTGTGGGGTAACTGCCTGCAGTACTGACAGCTCCGCTCCGCTCTCAGTGGAGGGCTGATGGTGTGCGTGTCTGTGTTTATTTGTGTGAATGCATTGCTTGTGATCTTTTTCTTTCTCTTCCTTTTTCTGGTTTGGTGACTTTGTGTTTGTTTATATCACAGGTGTTGCCCAGGCAGACATGTGGACTCTTCACACACACTATCTTCTATAAAGACTACCCAGGCAGTCCGAATGAACTGGACAAGCTCATCAATGGAGGAGAACTCTTCCTCACCGTTCTGCTCAACCCTGTGAGTCAAGTGCACACCCACACAGCACAGCGTTTGTCTTGCACACTTGGAAACCTATTTAACTGCTGGTGCAAATTGAAATTTAAACAAGGGACAGGACAATGACTAGTCAGTGACTCACGCGGTGATGTCTGCATCACGCTTTCTCTTTTTACACTACAGTGAAAGCCTCTTTTATTGGACACACAACACAGTGGAGTGTTGAAAATTCCTTGTATGTTTGTGTGTTTGTGGTGATATAAAAAGGCTGCTTTTATTACCAGCTCAGCAGATGATAATATTCTTCTCAATGCCTGACATTTTCCCACCCTAAAGTCCAAAACCTGCAGGCAGGTTTAATAGGCATGTAATCTTAAAAAACAAAACAAAAAAAACCCCACCAGAATGACATTACGTAACAGAAAGACGCTACGGATTCTCAACTTTACGACTGTGCTTGAACTACTCGTGTGTGATTTCACAGTTCTGTTGGGTAAACTAACCAAATTTAAGCTTAAAACCAGGACATTTCATCCTAATCACTTTATTCATAGATCTCTCATGTAAAAAATTGCCACAAATGAACAGTTTGTGTTCAAAAAAGCTAAAACAATCTGCTTTGTTCAGCAGAACAGTGTGGCCTTCAGTGACTCAGCTGCGAACAACAATCACATGACAAATAAATTGGGAACTTTTGGGTTGACTTGGGGTAAACTCCATCCGTGTTATTATATATATCTGATAGAGAAGTATGAAAACAAATTACAAATGTAAATGGTAAATTATCTACAGTATGAAGCACCTCCATTTTTTTCCCCAGTCTTGGTAGCTTCTGTGGGAACCTGATAAAATACAGTGCTTGTTGACTCTGGGCTTTTTCAATTTTAGTAAAATAAATTAATTTATGGAATTTGTGTTTTACTGCACAAGAGATATTTTTGGTTTCTTCTAGTCATGGTTGTGCTGTTTCCATAGCGGTGCAGGAATTTATATTCCAATGAAAAATGAGCCCACAGTGAGTAAAAACATTACCAAGACACGTTCCAACTGTGGAATCAGAAACGTTACTCTGTATTTTTCATGGTTGTTGGTCTTTATTCTTTGTGAATTTCTCTAAACAGTTTTCCTAAAGTGCACTTGTTTAACCCTGAACAGAAAGCATTCACCCGTGTGTTTTTAGTGGCTTATTACGGACAGGGACGCTGCACTAATGCTGATGACACAATTAACATTCATTATACTGTGTAGGCATATAAACTGCAAAGTCAAAGTTAGGGCACAGACTAGCAGTTATTTTGATTACTGATTAATCTGCTTGTTTTTTTTTTTTGTTGTTGTCTTGATTGAACCTGTTTATTGTTTAATCTATAAAACATCTGAATGTAGTAAAAATATTCAGTGTCCCAGAACTCAACATTTACTATGATAGATGACAAAAACATGCAATACTCACTCTATGAACTGGACTCTGGACTTTTGCATTTTTCTAATTGTCAGTCATTTAACTAATTGAGCTCCAGTCAATTCCACATCATGGCACAGATTTTTGATGGCACTCACTTTACCCCAATTAGCACCACTCACTTCCACTTCAGACCACATTGAGTTAATCTTCACCCCTTTAATAAACTCTGCTTATGCTTTCCATTCACAGATTAGTATCTTCATGACCCATCTGTCCAACTACGGGAACGACCGCCTCGGCCTGTACACCTTTAAAAGCCTGGTGATGTTCGTCCAGACGTGGACCAACCTGAAGATGCAGACGCTGCCGCCTATTCAGCTGGCTCAGAAGTACTTCAGTCTCTTCCCCTCTGAGAGAGACCCCCTCTGGCAGGTGAGAAGAAAACGCTGACGACAATATCATTTAGGCGATAATTTGCAGTTCTTAGATTTCTATAATCTTAACGTCTTTATAATGTTCCTCATATATACAATTTAATGTACAATCATCCTTAGCAGTACGTATTCCGATCGTCCAATATATAATTTGATATGAAGCCTTGATTCTATTTATTAAAGGAATGTCCTTTGTAAATCATAGCGCTTGGTGGACCCTTCAGTAGACCTGGCTAACCTGCCCTCGCGTGTATTTTTGCATTTACACGTGTTCGAGTTTTGTAGGAAGCACACTTTAAACAAAGGGATGATTTATGTGTTTTGGTGGGCTACAGGATCCTTGTGAGGACAAAAGGCACAAGGACATCTGGTCCAAAGAGAAAACATGTGACCGCTTCCCCAAACTGCTCGTCATCGGGCCTCAGAAGACAGGTGAGACGCAGTGCTTCGACACCCTCTACAGGACAGAGTTAGAAAGGATTACATGTGAAGTTCCTCATTCGGTTGGAAGCAGAAGTTCATATGAATACATTATTTCTTTAAAAATCTGTGATGTGTTTTTATCTTCTTCCTGTCGTTTGCCTTGGTTGCATTTTACAGCATGTTAATCTTATTGATCATAGAAGAATTACATACATTTATTATTACATTCCCTGAAACCTTTTGTGTTTTTTTTTCCTCCTTTATCTTCTTAATCTTAATCTTAATACTATTCCCTCTTTCGTTTTCCTCTCAGGGACAACGGCACTTTATCTGTTTCTTGGCATGCACCCTGATCTGACCAGCAACTACCCCAGCAAAGAGACTTTTGAAGAGATCCAGTTCTTCAATGGACACAACTATCACAGAGGCATTGACTGGTAGGAAACCTTACACTCATTTCATGTTTTTTTTTTTGTGTGCTGCTGCAGCAGTGACTCATCAGCAACAACTAACGATGGATATAGTTTCAGAAGTGGCTCCATATTATAACCAATTTTCATATTGTGTATGTTTCACAATATCTCTATTTAAACACAAGTCTTGTCCAGGTGCAATGAATTACAGTCACAGTATATAACACAGTGCAATTTAATCGTGTTCCTCTCCATATTTGAATTTCAGGTTTGCAGGTATTGTGCATTTAAAGTTATAAAACCACAGTTAAAATAGGCTGTTTTGATGCACAAGCAATTACTGAGACTGTTCTGGCTCCGATAGTGGAAGAAAACTCCCTAAATAAACCGTTGGTGTGTATTTCATTACAGCTGGTTTATTGAACGTGTGTGCATATTTGATTAAATAATACCTAATTTGCTTAAACAAACAGAAAATCTCATAAACCGTGTTATACTAAAAAATAATTGTCTCACTCCATGTAAGTTGTTATCCACCTGTAGTGTCTTGTCTCGAGCATTAAAATGCAAATGATGCCAACCAACATATCCACTCATTAGTGACATTCCTAAGGGCAGGACCAGCATCACACATAACACCTATTTATTTAGAAAGTCTCTGTTCAGAGTTTCCTGTAATTGATTTCCGAGCTGCATTAATGCGAAGCTTCGCGCGTCACAGCACCTGAAAAGAATCCAACACAAAATTTACTTGGCAGGCTGGAAATTTCTGACTGGGCTGCACAAATATTAACATTGTATAACACTACACAATGTTAGATGTTTTATTTATTTATTTATTTATTTGTATGTGTGGCGCCAAGCTGTTGTGCATGGTTAATCACCCACACAATGAACAGAGAACTTATCCTTATCTACAGAGAGCAAATTGGACCAGATCATCTGTGGCTGCCTGTCACACTCAGTGTTTCTGTGTTTGTTGTGCGTTAGGTACATGGAATACTTCCCTCTGCCCTCCAACACCAGTTCAGACTACTACTTTGAGAAAAGTGCCAACTACTTTGATTCTGAGGTCGCTGCTCAGAGGGCCGCGGCTCTCCTGCCCAAAGCCAAGATCATCACCATCCTCATCAACCCAGCGGACAGAGCTTACTCTTGGTACCAGGTCTGTCAGAAGCAGCTCTAAATTTCACACCTGCTCTGTTAACCTCTGCACATTGAAGTATTAAAAAAAAAAAAATAAACAACTTTGTAATATGACCTTTTCTTTCTGCCCACAGCACCAAAGAGCCCACGATGACCCAGTGGCATTGAAATACTCCTTCCACGACGTCATCACTGCGGGCCACAACGCTCCGGTCAAACTACGGGTCCTGCAGAATCGCTGTCTGGTGCCAGGCTGGTACGCCATCCACCTGGAACGCTGGCTCAATTTCTACCACTCCAGCCAGGTATTGGTCCGTGCACATAGCAATGAGCAGTGTCCAATCAGCCAACAATGTTAAGTGTTTCTCAACAACCTAAGTCTGCTCGTGTCGGCGTGTAAAAATGCCCTCCAGTGGGTATATTAAGCTTTATAATAAGGGGTTTGTGGTGAGGGAGTGCGGTTCTCTCTTTTCTATATTCTTTACAGGGAGTATTTTAAATCCACTTAACCTTGAGGGAAAGGAGCTGCCCTTTAGGGACACTTAAGAGGAAAAACAAGCACTTATCAACCCAAACTTTCCAAATTCGTAAGCTGCACACAACCAAACTACAGTTAAGTGTGTGCAGCTTTACCGAAAGAAAGCCTTTATGGAAAAGAATAGCATAGAAATGTTATTTGTGAAGTTTAAAAAAAAAAAAAAGTTGTGATATTCATTTGAGGTCATATTACAGCTTTTCCATACAGCTGCCGCGTTCATACTCTGATATTTTGTGTGTGTGTGTGTGTGTGTGTGTCTCACCCAGTTGTTAGTTTTGGATGGACAGATGCTGAAGACTGAGCCTGCCTCAGTCATGGACAAAATCCAGAAGTTTCTTGGCCTCGCCAACATTATCAACTACCACAAGATCTTAGCGTAAGTATCCCTCTGTCGCAGCATAATGTTTCAGCTGCCAAGTTTCCGAACCGACTGATTTATGGCATTGCTGGTTCCAAATCAACTCCAAATGCAGATGTAGAGTTTTGTTCACCTGTCAGGCTTCAGTTTCTGCTCTTGTTTTGTTGTGTAAAGCAACAACATATTGCAGTTTTCCTTAAAGAAAATTGAGGCTTTGTGGTTGTCACTGCCATCACTCTACTGGCACTATCTAAAAAAAACCCAAAGCAAAACACATTTGTAATTATTAAATGAAAATACATATATACAATTATTGACAGTCCCATCCAGCCACGCATTAGGAAATTTAAAATGACTTTGCTTTGAATAATGCATTTTTTTTCAGATTGTTTTGCCATGGAAAAGTTAATCTGACTCATTAAAAGTCCTAAAAGCACATCAAATTTATTCTTTGAATATGGAAATATTTTTCATTTTAAGGTGTATCTCTTCAAAACAAGATTTCCCACACACTCTTAAAATGTGTGCTGGAAGAAATAAGTGTGCATTTTGCATTTCTTTAAAGTGGTTATTGGACTGTGGTTATTTGTGAAGTCAGAAATTGCGATCGTACGTGCATGAGCTAGAAAAGAGCGAGAGAGACTGTCAATGAAAATACAATCAGAACTTTAAATGAAGTGTTTTGAAGTTCTTAATGTTTTCTTGTATCTCTCACAAACAGGTTCGACCCGAAGAAAGGCTTTTGGTGTCAGCTGCTGGAAGGAGGGAAGACAAAGTGTTTGGGGAAGAGTAAAGGACGCAGGTACCCTGACATGGACCCAGAGGTAAGATCATTGTTGCATCTTCTTTAGAAAATGTCTTTACAGTCACATTTGCTGTGCATTAGATATGTTTCTTACATCTGCTTCACCTCTTTGTCTCCTTCAGTCACAGGGCTTCCTCAGGGAGTACTATAGGGATCACAACATCGAGCTGTCAAAGCTGCTCTACAGGATGGGTCAGCCGCTGCCCAGCTGGCTCCGAGAAGAGCTGGTCCACACCAGGTAGCAGCACCACCGGGGGAAGACCACAGCTCCACACTCTGAACCACTGCTCTACCCTGCTGGGGCTCACTGGCCTGAAGGGTCGAAGATCCCAAACAGTTTTGCCAGAGAATAGAAATATGTTGAGATTCGAGGACGGGATACCCAACTAGACCTCAAAACTTAACCGCGATCTTCCCAAATAAGGGCAACAGTGGACAAAACCAGGAACGTAGGAAGCCCTAATGGTGTGTCCTGAAGAAGAAACGGGGAAGTGATGGCACATGAGGGACCTGCAGTGTTTGATAATCACATCACTGGTTCTCCTCAATCAAACGTTCTTTTCTTCACGTGAACTTCCTGGAAATCAAAGAGAGGAGGAATAAAGGAAAAAGGGTCTGAAGCTCGAGCAGTCTTCAGTTTCAGCTCTGGAAAACGGGTGACAGAAGCACGAACACCATCATCTGTTCATGCCGGCAAACAGGCAACGTGATACAGACTTCTAGGTTGGCTGCCTGATCCACAGAGAGACATTGGTTACAAATGCCTTTGATATAAGTGTTTTTATGAGGGGAGAACGGGACACCTGGAGTCTTGACTTAGGCTGCATGTTGTAGCCTTACTTGATAGGCCTTGGTAGAATCTAGTTATCACATTTACAAGTGCCAGGACAGAATCTTCATTAAAATATTACCACGTGGACTTTTGAGGGTTCTTTTTTTTTTTTTTTATGTTTTGTTTTCTTTTTCTGATTTTAACAGTTCTATAATGCTGATGGCGATGCATTATTTTTAGAATGTACCAAAACTAAACATTTTAGCTCTGTTGTTGTCACATAGGCAGGGTGTACAGTGCAGTTATTTATACTGTTTTCAGCTCAGCCTGCCTTTTTTTTTTTTTTTTAAAGTCAGTTTCATGACCGCTGAACTGGCTAAAGCAGGAACAAGTAGGATAGACGTTGAAAGCACAATGTTTTAGGCGCTCGAGCGAAAACATCGATTCTGAACATACAGGTTACTGGAAAGCACACTAACACAATGGCTCCTCCGACTTCAATCTGTGAAGAAGATCATAAGCTAGCTACTGTATCTTAATTAAGCCCTCTGGTCCCATAGATTCAGATAGTGTACAGAAACCATTGTGCATTTCAAAATCTGTTTTCAGCATTGGGGTTATTTTTATTTTTTATTTTTTTTTTGTCAAAACTGTATATTTTGTCTTATATTTTATTACATTTCATTTACTATAGGATTTTAATTTTTGGGGAGAGGAAAAAAAAAAAGCTGTCTCTGGGTAAAAAGCGTGTAAAGTCACCAGGCGAAACCAACAGGATGCCCAGCGAGACCACACGGACGTTTGGTTGTCGGTCGAGGTGTCACCACTGCAACTAGATGTCAAGCATAGATAACAAAAAGCTGCTCTTATTGCAATAGTTTTGTACAATGTTCTGATGTAATAACAATGCACATGTCGGTCCATTATTTCCTGACTTTGTAATGTACATAATGCGAGAAAAAAAAAACCCTCAGTAGACCTAAATTATTGAATGTGTTTGGGTTTACGCTCTCCATCAGCCCATTCTTCATAGTGTGAACTGTCAGTGCTGTGCTGAGGGGAGTTTGGATGTTTTCATTGTGCGAAGGTGTCGCTAAGATTATTTCCTCTCATGTCCTCTCACTGCCAACTATTGTACAAAGGTACCGAGTCTCTCCATATAAAGTATTAAGTGATAACACATAACAGCAACGATGGTACTAATCTCCTGGACTGTATGATGAAGATTTGTAATTGTTGTCAATAATTTTTACAGTGTAACTAATATTGTCGGTGCTTTTTAATTTGCAAATAAAACACCACTGTATTTTTCAGTAGTTGGATCTTTTTTCTTCTCTTCTTTCTCGTCCTGAGCTTCCGTGTGACAATTAAAAACCGCTTTTACTTTTCAGGGTCACTGCCAATTCAAAGTGACTGTGGCTGCTTTTGTGCTGAGATTTCTAGAAAACCTGCCAGTTTCTTTGTCTTTGGCTTGAAAATGGCTGAAAACCAGACCGGCTTCAATTTTGGTTTCACTTCAGGGTGAGGCACTTTCCAGAAGCTGAATTCCTCATTATGGTATTAAACGCAGGCCTGTTGAACAACAAATCAGATCATTTAAAGTATCCTTGATCTCATGACAAACCAAAGGTAGACTTGCATGTATCTCGTGTTTGTTCATTTTACTTTCCTTGTTTGGGGAAAACAAAAAAAAGAAGTGGCCTCCCCTGTTGTTCCAGGAAGTAAATAAAAGACTACTTACCACTATTCACATATTATTAGTACACGAATTTCACAAAAACGGTGCATTTCAGTATTAAATTTTCCAATGAAACAATTGCTACCTTACCAAAAAACTACACATAATACACTATATACTGTACAAAGTTTACTGTTATAGTGATAAAGTGATAATATTATATTGCAGTAATAAATCTCAGCTTAGAAATTCATTGAAAAAAAAAAAAAAAAACACTTTGGTTTAGAATTACCATAAACAATAGAAAACACCACAGCACAGGACAAGTTCTTGTAAAGTAAGCCTGAAGTCTGCTTCTCTCAACAAGTGATGCTGCAAAATGTGACCAATCAGAGCTCGCTGCTCTGATCCATCCCACAGCGTTTTTAATAAGAGGACTTTCTCTGGAACCTGCACTGTGTTCCTTCCTCATTCTCTGTGGCGATTTATGCCCTTGACCTGCGGGATTCTCTCCAGTGTTTTGTCTTGAAGAAGCTGAGACAGACTTCCAAGAGAGATGGCCCACACCCCAGAAGATGCTGTCATGGACACAGGGAGCCTGGCATCCAGTGAAACGGCCCTTGTTCCCCCCAGTGTAACAAGAGGGTGAGGAGAACCTGCTCAACAAACTGCTTTATTTCTAATAATAATAATAATAACTGCTGTTTACTCTGAAGTATTTCCAGAATGTAATCTTTGCTTGTAACGTGCAGCATGTGTCTGTATTCAGCTAAGTCACAACTGAGACACATGTCAGAATTAAACTTTAGAGCTTACCTGAAATATCGTTTGCAATAACAAATCTATTCTGCATTTTTTAAACCTGATAATATCTCTGTCAGGTTTCCAGTGTTACTTTTTCAGCCTGGTTCATGAAGCAGTAAAATCCTGCAGATATGTCATCTATATATGCTGCATGTAAATGTTATCTATTGCAACCTTTTTAATGTTTTAAACGTGTTTAAATTTACTACCATACTGTATGCCTCCTAATTAACCTACATTGTACAATCGCTTCTCGTTTCATCGGCGCGACGGGTCTGCCTAGCAATTGCTGACGTGGTCATTTCTTATTGGCTCATAAATAATCACAAATAAACTCATTGGTCAATTTTCTTTATTGCCGTTAGAAATACATTAAAAATGTTGCTTTTTGTCACTGTCACTCAGATATAAATAAAAAAAAAACAATAATATTTGGCAGTGGAGGATTGGTTAGTTACCATGGACGAATTAGGCTTACTGTTCCCTAACATTGACTATATTGTAGGTTTTGAAGCATTTCTGTGTAATAATCATGTCCAAAAAATACAGTAAATCTAACATATTATTAAAAATAGCACCTGGATGTGTTTGATGACGTTTGTTTACATACAGTACATGGAAGTACATGGGTTTCTTGGTTGAAGTTTCACTTTAGTTGTATTAGAATTGTTTGTGAAACAAATGAAAATGCAGTTGTTGTGGTTTTACAACTTTTCATGAGATAAAAACCATTTTACACTCTCCTAGATGTCTTAAACATGCTCTAAATCATAGTCGGATGTGCACTTCCTGGTAGCGCCAGAAGAAATCGTCTGCCTAGTAACTAGTGATGCTCAAATTCTATTGGCTGAAGCAAGGATTGATTTCATAATGGATGGATATTGCTGATTTACCCCAGAGTTCACAGAACAGTTGTAAATTATTGATTCAACTAACACAAAGTAACAATACAGTTTAGAGGTCAACAACATCAGCAATACAAGCAGTGGATGGTCAGGTGTCAGTTTTTCTATGCAGGTGTTAAAGGGGATCCAATAGCCCAGTGGTTCCAGCACATATGTCCTATTGATATTAAGGGCAAAAAAGTGCAGAAACAAATAAAGACATTCAGGCATGTACAAAATACTGACAATATGCATCATTATAACATTTTTGGGATTATTAGGAGAAGATACTTTCCATGCCATTAATACTGGGTCTTTTTTTTTTTTTTTTTGTCAGGTTAAGGGCACTTTTTTTTGTCCCGGACTGTCCAAAATCAGAATTAAATGCCACACAGTTCACTTTTGGAAATTCCCTCAAGTCACTTTAATACCACGGAATCTTTTCTAAAAGTTTAAATCCCACTTTTTGTTTTGCTCAGATTTCCTGCGCGTCAAAACCTCCACTGTTTCACCCTCCACAAGTGACATGTTTTACTTGTTTCTTTTCCACAGGGGTTCCAACAAACGTGCCTTTAAGATTGCAGGCCTCACAACTTTGGCATGTCTGCTGGTGGCCAGCCAGGTCTTCACTGCCTACATGGTGTTCGGCCAGAAGCAGCAGATCCACACGCTGCAGAAGAACTCGGAGAGACTTGGCAAACAGCTGAGCCACTCATCCCAGAGTCCCGGGGGTATAAAAATCTTAATTATTAGACAAAGCAGCCGCCCAATAGGGATGTATCATTTTCAACATTAGTCATCAGACAGGAGGAGGAGGAGGAGGAGGAGGAGGAAGCGGAGGAAGGCTAAAGAGGTGGAGAGGGAAGTGAAAGTTTGGTCTGAAGAAGTTGTGAGATGATGTGAGAGCTGGACAGAGAAATGAAAGCATGTTGATTCATGGGAAGGAAATCAACTGTCTGATACCTTTTTGTAGATATAATTATGATAAAATTTCAAGCAGTAACGTTTGGAATTCCCATAATATTTTTGAAATCCATTCTGTTCCAATATCTTGCATTTGTGGTTGACTTGTAGGACAAATCTGCGTCACAAAAGCATGTGATCAAGAAAGACAATAAAGCTTTCGTTGCATGCTGATGAACACAGCTGACACAGCTGAAAGTGGACCCTGAAACGTATTTGACATATCAAGCTAAATTTCGCAAATATATATATATATATTTTTAAAAATATCTATATTTAATGCTATAAACTTTAAATGCAAATCAGAGATGGTCAGGTAGAAATGGCTTTAAAATGCTATAATTTGAGATGGAATGATGCAAATGGATCTGCTGAGCTGAACGTGATGGGAGCAGATGATCATAGGAACCATTGTCATTAACAATCACAGATCTGACACAAGATGATTACACATCGATGCACTGAACAATACATAAAGCAGCAGATTTGGGAATAAATCACAGCCATAGTCAGGTCTGCTTTACTTTCACTGGCATCAACGGCAATTTCTTCAGGTTTACTTTTGTATGTTTTAGTCCAGGTTATGTATGTAGTTTTGTTTTTGTTTTTTAACTTATTTATCTTGTATTTTATTTTGCTTTGACCCAATTTAAACTTTTCTGTGGAGCTTCTATTTTTCAAAAAAAGCAAAGTTCATAGTTATCCCTGCACCTCGAAAAAATACTAAGTTTCTTCACTGTCCCTTGTTTTTCAGCTCGGGGTCCAATGAAGATGGCCATGCCAATGAACACCCTGCCACTGATGATGGACTTCACTTCAGAGGAGACACCCTTGACTGTAAGTTTAAGCATGTTTCCTGGAAAACCCTTTATGTAAGACTTGAACACCAAATGCTTGAATCCGAAACTTTCATGTTAAATGTATTTACTCTGAATTACTTCTCTGTTTCCTGCCACCAGAAACTGGAGGACACTGCTGTTGTCAGTGTGGAGAAACAGCTGATGGACCTCATGCAGGTTTGTTGCACTCAGTATCCACTGTGTCCTCACTTTACTTATGTTACACTGCTGCCGCTAAGCTAAGCTCCTGATATGTTTTGAGCAGGACTCCCAGCTGCCCCAGTTCAACGAGACCTTCCTGGCCAACCTGCGGGGCCTGAAGGAGCAGATCAACGAGACCGAGTGGAAGGTGAAGCCTCGTACACACTCATATGGAGACTTAATTTGACTAAAATAGAAATTAATCTAATAAAATGTTTAACACGTTGAACTCTGCAGAGCTTTGAGTCATGGATGCGTTTCTGGCTGATTTTCCAGATGGCCCAGCAGAAACCTGTTCCCCCAACATCTGCAGGTTACTTTAAGTTTTATTCCCTTTAAGTTTTAGAGAGCTGTGACAGAAGATGATGATTTTCCTGTAATTCCAGTAGCCCCCAGCATTTAAAGATTTAACGACCCTGGCTGTAATACATTACTGTGACAATATCAATATAAAACAGAAATACTGAACAGGAATAGAATTAGTTGTAGTGGATTGATCTTCTTTTAAAAAAAAACAACCAGTGCTGGAGGCTAAGCTAGCCATAGATATATATATAATAAAGGCCTTTATTATATATATTTATGAAGCTACCTGTTTCCCACTTCTTTCAGTTTTGGGGTGATGCTAAGCTAACTAGCTGCTGCTGACGGTAGCTTCAGATTAAATGGACAGACATGAGAGTGATGCTAATCCTCTCATCTAACTCGGCAACAAAGTGAACAAGTACATTTCCCAAAAGCTTGCCGTTTATTTTCCTGTAGACTCCATTACTGCCTGTAGATAGTTCATTATGTAGTACAGTCACCAACAATTAAAACCAAACAGACCTTAATTTGTTTCTAATCCTTTCCATCGGACAGCCTCTTTGATCAAGACCAAATGCCAGATGGAGGCAGCACCTGGGGCCGGCAAGGTCGGTTCATACAAGCCCCAGTGCGATGACCAGGGCCGCTACAAGCCCATGCAGTGCTGGCACGCCACCGGCTTCTGCTGGTGTGTGGATGAGTCCGGCAATCCCATCCAGGGCACCACCATGCGTGGCCGTCCTCAGTGCGGCGGAGGTAAAAGACAAGGACTACAGCGCTTTTATCTTTTCACTTGAGGCTGCCATGAATGATGACTGAACTGAATTGCTGTCTTTGTTTCTCCGTCGGTTTTAGGCTACGCTCCTCGTCGCATGATGGTCGCACCCAGGATGATGCAGAAGACCTTCATTCCTGATGGTGAGTCCCTCAGATGATCTTGAAAGATTTTACAAAATCAATATTGCGTATTTGCAACCGTTTTGGAGTGCTGCACATCATCACTTGCTGTGCTTCTTTTTTTCACAGACAACTGAGTCAAATGAAGCGACGCAGAAGAAACTTCATGGAGCTATCTTTGCAGACATGAGAAATTGGTTATGTGAAACTTGATGCTGATCTGCTTTTAAGAGGCTAGCACTTTTAATTCCTGTTGAGCTTTTCTTCCTTGTAATCCCTTGATATTAACCATGTTTCTGGCTGCTTGAAATCAAACCAATAGAAGACCGCTGCAAGTCACTCTTTGTTTTTAATTTTTAAAATCTATTTTAGGGTGTATCTGCATCATCTAAGCAGTGTTTATCAAAGTATGTGAGTGTTACAAGTGAGTCTTTGTAATGAATGCTTAAAGGGTCAGTTCATCTTAATTACAAATAACGGAGATCATTCCACTTTCACATCGTTTCACTCCACCTCCATGTTGGGAAAAGTTTGTTAATGGAGCATGCAGCATTGTCATTTAAAAATGTGAAGAGCTGAAACTCTTTCCAGAAACAGTGTCCCCTGTTTCTCTGATAATCCACAAACCTCACAGAGGACAGTTTTCACAGGTGCTATTAAAGTAGTTCCTGTTAAAACTGTTCACAGTGAGGTCTGTGGATTATTCAGAGTACAGGGGACATGGTTTCTGGAAGGAGATGTTGCTGTTCAGTTTCTTAAATGTTTTCAATGCTGTAGCACCACAAATGAAAGCCCAGCTAAATAAACCCAGAAACTATCGGTATTGCTGGTCCATGAGAGTCGAGTGAGTTGAGTATCTTATGTAATTTGGGTGAACCTGCCCTTTAAAAGTTGGGACTCTTTGAGAAAGTGACTCCTCCTAAAGAAAGTTAAATAAAGTTTTCCTAACAGCACTGTGTACATTATTTTACCAATGTCACACTGTCTGGAGACTGTAAAAGAAAGAATGAAAGAAAGAAAGAAAAAGAAAGTGAGAAAAAAAGCAAGAAAGAAAGAACTTTTTTTTTTTAGCTTTAATTTCCTTAATTTAATGTTTAATCGTGTGATTGTTTTTAGGTTTTTTTAAATTAAATGGACATTTACATGTGTAAAATTCATGAAATTTCCTTTGTCAAAATGTCTGGCAATATATATCTCTCATTTGACAAACAAATCTATGTGAAATCACAGAAACTATCATTTATTTACAGCATTAAATTTGTATTTAGTTGTTTTGTCCATTAAATACAAATAGAAATATTTGTGAAATTATGATAAATTTGCAAATGTATTCCATCAATCATTATATGTAAAAAAGAAATCTAAAAAAAATGTAATTATATGGCTATTACAGTTACAAGTGCTTAAAGTTATCTTGCATTAGATGTGTAATTATTATTATTTTGTAACTTTATTGGTATTTTTGTGGATTTAAAAACAACAGGAAAAAAAAATCTTTAAAATAAAAAGGGGACACTCCATAAAATTACAGTTTTGTTTTTATTTTTTTTTACAGTAGGCATAAAGAGGCCTTTATAAACTTTTCCTGATGCCAGTAAAACTACTCATTTAGTCCTAGATTTTGTGCCGTTTCTAGGTTTAAGTTTCACTTTTCAGTGAAGTGCAATTGACTCATTCAGTTTAACATTCAAGTTATTTCCTGTTCAAGCACCTTAGATGTTTAGCATTTTTCACAGCTTGTTAATAATCATTTAGACCTTTAGGTCTTTTTCTCTTTTTCCTCAGGCTAGTTCTAAGAAAGGAAAGACACAAAAGATGCCAAACTCACACCCAGTCCAGTTTAAAATAAGGCCGTTTTTTTTTTTATCAAACGTTCATCAAATTAACAAGATCTGACAAACACCTGATAAAATCCCCCTGTTGATCTCTGTCTCAGCTGTTTTCACAGTCTTCAGCGTCATGTCACTTGCTTATATTGTTGAGCTCTGCATTTCTGCCAGCAGAATCTGGATGGCTGAAAAAGTGTTGATTGTTGTTGTGCTCTTGAATGTTGAGTTTGTTTTGCACGTCCTCCTTCACGTGTGGAGGAAGTGCTGTATGTCCCAAAGCACAGATCTTGCTCATCTTTTAGAGGTGTGAGGAAAGGCAGCGGCAACAAATCAGAAGTCAGCTGAGAATAAAGCAGGTCGCACATTTTTACTTCCAACTTGGTGAACAGCTCTGGCAACAAATACTTATCTGCGTCTAAACTGGCTGAAGGAAAGCGTCTGATTTCAATAAGTATGAGAGAAAATTTTGATTTTTGTATCTTGTGCAATTTGTATACAATGAAGCCAAAGGTTCTTCTGCAGGTGTAAGTAAACACTGCATAGAAAATACTGTCCTGTAACACATAATTGACAAAACAGGGATTTTTGAAACAATCTGAACCAGAAATTAGTGTGTTTAGACAAAAAACAGAAAACAAAAGTTACGTTTTTTTGGGGAAAAAATTTTATATCAGAAATGTCCAATCAAATCAAATCAGAGTTTCTTTAGGTTTCAGGAAATCTTTCAAGATCTTTTCAATGTCAAAATGACATCTTTCTTTAATAAAAAAAATCTTTTGTTTTGTTTAAAGCCTTACATTTAGTCATTTAAAAATGTATTTTCTAGGTCCCAACGAAACCATGACAACATTTTCCACTTCGAATCTTGACATATTCAGTCCGACTGCGATGTCACTGAATCTGCTCGAGCTCTTGGGGCTCGCTGTCATTTCAGCAGCAGTTACTTCACTGTTTAGACGAGGATGGCACTGTCGTGTTGAACATTATCATTATTCGCAACCTACAAACTGGAATCGTTTCCAAACTTTGAGACTTTGAGCACGCTGGGGCAGCTTAGACATCCTCTATGCTGGGAGAAGCCTCTGTGAGTGTGAGACCGTCATTCACGGACAGACAGCGGATTCATGGACGACTGTCCTGAGAGTTTGTGTAACACGCCAGTAGCTCAGCTTCTGTGTCTAATAAAATGTGATGCTGAGCAGTGGGACACGATACTATACTTGTTGTTTTATGCTGACAGCGTTTGTGTTTGGTTAGACAACTTTTAGAGACAGTTTAACGAATAACCCACTATATGCTTAATGAATTATTTATTAAAACATATAGATCATAACAATTCATTAATTAAAGCAACTTTTTGGGTGCCAGGTTGTGAGAATACCTTTGAATGCACGACTACTTCTCTCCCCAGATTAAAAAAAAAAGTTTATTATTAATTTATTAGCCATTTATAACTGCAATTCAGGCTTTTCACCACTGGCAATTCCGAATTTGCTCTTTCTAAATGATTAATAACTGATCTGTAAAGTATTATAAAGAATCAAACCATAAAATATTTCTAACCTGTAATTGGTATTATTTTTTAACCATCAATAAACATTAGTTAAAACTTATAGCCCCATTTTAAAGGGGGCCTTATCAGGAAAAGGGGACACATGTGGGTCATAAAATGGAAAATCAGGAGACTACAAATCAATTTCTAATAATACTGTCACAATGTCTGTATTTCTCCAATGTTTAATATTATAATATCTGTGTCAGTCTGATTTGAAATAAATGATCTAATAAATCAGTGAGAATTAAACTGGTTAAAAGTATTTAAATGACGTATTGAAGATGATTGCATATGATTTCAAAAATAATTACCGCTCATCAATAACCCCTGCTGTGACCTTTCGGCCCATCTTGGTAACTGTACCCTGATCACTCATAGCAGTGAAAGTGGGTCCTACGTCATCAATAATTCAGCTCACTGTAATGGAATCCAGGTGAGCCAGCAGCTGAGTTAGACGTACGCACAGGATGGCAACTGTGAGCATGAATGCACCTGTAAGTATATTCTACACTATTTACACTACCGATAGTGTATGATAACATAATATAGTAGAAATTAAGGGAGTGAAGATTGTCTTAACATCTGCGGCAATGTCTGATCTCTGTGTTTCACCAGATATGTGAGGAAGCTGTAAGAGTAGGAGTCGTACTCACTACAATCCCAGGTAAAGCACGGATGAAAGCGTAAAGGCTGTAAACATGCAACGCTGTCATGGGGGATTATGTTTAAATGTATTTATTTTTTAATGCACAGAGGGTAAAGACTGTGTAGTTATTGCTGAAGTAGGACGTGGCATTGACTACAAATCAGCAAAGGATGAGGTAAAGCATTTGAATTCACTTTGTGCTTCAGTCATCAGTTAGAAATGTTGCTCTCTGGAAGCTCTCACTGCTCGGATGGTTTTTTTCTTTTTTTCAATTAGGAGAAAAAGTCCTTCTCATTTGACCAAGTCGTGACTGCTCACAACACAGAGGTACAAAAGAGTGTCTGACCTCAGATTTTAACCAGCTAGTCTGTTTGTGTACTACCAAACGCAAGCCTCTTCACATCTATTCACTGTCATGATGTGTGGATGGTAAAAGCGTGAATGTGAATCTGCAGAGTTTCCACGCTGAGCTCCTGCAGCCGCTCACTGAGGCCATATCCAGCGGGTATAATGGAGCGGTGCTGATATGTGGAGCCTCCACAGAAACAATTCAAGCTCTGATTGACCGCAGCGTCATCAGACAGGTGGGGCCCCAAACCACACGACACCTAATATTGGCAGATTCAAAGTTGTTGCGTGAATAATCTCACTCGTGACTCTGTTGTAGGTCTTGGCAAATCTGTTTAGTTGTATAGTGTCACAAGTGAAAGAGGAGTTATTCATCACTGTCTCCTTTCTTCAGGTTTGTCCTTCTATTTCAAAGCACATTGGACACACTATAATACAGGAAAACTACTAAAGTTCCTCATTTTCAGTTTTATCCAGATGGTAGTGCAGTGGATCTCCTGAGCCTCAACAAACAGACTCTACAACTTGTAACACATCCAGAACTCGGAAGGTGTGTCTTAATAATGTACGATCATGAACAAAAGTTTTCATACACTTGTTAGGACCATGTGTATCACGGCAGTCTTGATTGTCCAATGGCTCCAATAACTATTAAGGCACGACAGCCTCTCAGCGAAAGAAAGAAACTTTGGCCCCTAAAGTTTGCTGCTGATCACATGGACAAAGAAAATACCTTCTCAAGGAAAGTTCTGTTCTTAAGATGAAACAGAAATTAAGCTATTTGACCAAATGACCAGAAATATGTTCGAATGAAAGATGGTGGCACTTTTAACTCCAAAAACACCAACCGACAATCAAGCATGGTGGTGGCAGTATTATGCATTAAGCTGATTTACTGGCAGTGGAGCTGGTGTTTTAGACAAAGTAAATAGAATAATGAAGAAGGAGGATTACCTCTGCGTTCCTCAGGAAAACCTAAAATCATCAGCCAGAAGGTTTGATCTTAGACGCAACTGGGTGTTCAAACAAGACAATGACACTAAACACACATCAGAAGTGTTAAAGAAATGCCTAAATCAGGCTGAAGTTTAGGTTTTACACTAGTCTTTCCAAAGTCCTGACTTAAACCCCATCAAGAACCTGTGGACTGTGATAAAGAAACAAGTGTGTGTGTGTCAGAAAGCAACAAATTTAGTTAAACAACACTAAATCTGTCAAGTGGAGTGATCAAAGATACAACCGGTAGCTTGTAGACGTCTACCAAAGCACCTAGTGGAGGTGAAAATGGCCAAAGGACATTAAACCACATATTAACACGCTGTATGTGTTTTGACCCAGCAGAATTTCATCATAGAACAACTACAGTAAATCTTTTTTTGTGTGAAAAAAATGCATATTTCAGTGATTCCATTGCAGAAAATTCTAAGATTGAGAAGTCATTAGAAACTTAAGACTGCAGTGATTGACATGCTCTTTACAAGTGTATGTAAACTCTTGTTCACAACCGTACTCCTCTGATAAATCAAGATAAACATGATCAAAACAAACCCCACATGGCAAACATGCTGAAATGTA